ATACCCCTTAATTCCTTGTAGAATAATTCATCAGTGTTGTTGTCTTGGCTGGGTGGTCAATAGTAGACTCGCACAACAACATCCGCTAATATATATATATGTGAACTAATATATATTTTTTTTAAAATGTAGATTTTACTTATATATGTAAATTATGTCATCAGACCTCATTCAGAACTGCCGAGCATTGACATCTTCATTGTAACTGTTTCCTTCATTGCACAGATAGAAATACAGGGGTCTTTCCAGTGCATCCAAAAGATTAATAAATATTAAAAGAAGAAAAAGTTAAGAATCCTCTATACAAAGCTCCCTTAGACCCATAAGATGTTAGCATTAACATCCACAGGATGTTTTCTAGGACAATACAGATGGACTAGGTGAAAAAGAAATTCAGGGTGTTACAGATTTGTCTTTGGAATGATTATTATTTTAGGGCCTTAAAATGTATTTCTGAACTAAGGTTTCATTTCAGTCAGTGCCACACAAATGCAAAACAAACACCATACCTGCCTCAAATAACTGATAACTAATTGTAGGTAGAAACTTCATAGGGCAAAAGGCAAGCACCTCCAGTGGGCCATCCCCGCTTGTGGTAGCTGCTTGTTTCATACACTATTGTTTTGCCCCGAAGCAATAGTTACAGGAGGCTGCGTAACTAAAGGAAATATTCAATACACATCCTAAAGAAAATATTTTCTTAATCAGACCACAGGGAATGCAGTTAGAGCAAGGGACTGCTGGGAGTAGGAATAGTGTCTGAGAATCATTTTTCTATGGATTGACAAATTTTACGTACCTGCTTAGCCAGGATTTTCTTTTTCGCAGTTTTTATATAATTTTAACTTTATGCTTAATGTTTCCCTAGTGCAGTTTGACATGATGCGTGCTTGTAACCTCATCGCCACAGTTGCTCTGACTGCCGGCCAGCTCATCTTCGTCCTGGGCCTGATGGAGCTACCTATCATTTCTCAGGATACCCAGTGGTGGGAGGAGGCCATAGCTGCCGTGTTCCAACTTGCCAGTAAGTCCACTTCTTTTTACTGACGGAAAAATACTTAGTCTCTATTAAATCCAGGTGGAAAAGTGTTTCTCACTTTATAAATCTTTCAAGTAACAAAAAATAGCAAAAAGGCCTAAATCTAAAAGTAAGCTCATTGTCTCTTAAAAGCTCTCCCCATGAGATTCTGCAGTACATGAATAGAAGCTTTTATCTTGGATATATCAGAATGACTCTTCTGCCAACCAAGAAAAACAAGCCTTTATTATTTCCTATGAAACCAGGAAGGCAAACATGAAAGAAATAAACTGGATGCAATGTAATCCCACAATTTAGCAGGACAAAATACACCAAAGAAGCTGTTTGAAAGCAGAACAGAACGGCCAAAGAAATTTTTGAAGTCTTGCTGAAACAAGATTATTTGCTTTTAGCTAACTGAAACTCAGTGACCATCGGCTGGGTTTTGATAGCCAGATATGTCTGCAATCTAGCAAAGAAAGCTGAAGTAAATTCATAACACTGACTGCTGTAAATAAAATTCCCACAGTAATTCTCATGGACACAGACTGTATACAGAAATGAATGAGGAAAAGAGGAAATGGTTTTATCACAATTCCATATCGACAGCAATGGCAGCAAACTGTAGACATTTTGCAGTAATACCTTTCTTTACTATGTAAAATAAGTCACTTAATATTCCTTACACCAAGAGTCCAATCCTATAAAATACCCATGCATGAAACTGTCATTAATAGAGTGTAACATTCAAGCTGCTTACAAGATTGGATTAAAAATATATATTATTATTAATAATAATGTAAACAACAGGTTATAGTAAAGTAACACCATTTTATTTTAAATTTTAATTTCAACTTTAAAAACTCAGAATATTTAGAACTGTATAAACCTACTGAGACCTCAGGTTTACACTGCTGCAAGATCAGAATCTAGTCTAGGTCATTTAGATATGGTCCTCACAGCAATAAACACCCATTAAGGATGATGAACCTGAAATCCAAACAAGAGGAGGAGACTGCAGAGGTTCTGTAACTCTCAAAGTATCTGATCCAGCTTCCAGGTGCAGCAAGACCCTCAAGTGCCAGTCAGTGCTACCAAAAGACGCCTTGCCATAACAAGACCACCCTACAGCCTCTTCATGCACACCATGGGTTTTATAACTCTGGATGCTTTCTGGATAGTTCTCCCCGATCATTGGTGTGATGCCTGCTTTACTCTCATTCCCTCCCATCCTCCCCAAAACTTGACATGTCTGTTTTTCCCAGAGAGGAAATGCATTCTGGCGCTGTTTAGATGTGTTGTTTCATTGACAAACAGCACAGTGGACAGCCGTGTGCCTTTCTTCTATCAAGGCTGCTAATTTTAGACTGAGCTTTCCCCCCGCCCCCCCTTTTTTTTTTCCTGTGCTGAAGTCTGTTTTAAACACAGTCAGAGAGAGACTGAAGGGCGCCAGGATATCCCGACACAGGAGAAGGAAATGCCTGCTATTACCTGTTATGCAAGCTGAACCTTGAAATCCCCAGTGCTGGGAGGGGAGAGGGGAGGAAAGCCAGAGTCAGAATGATTAACAAAACCCTAATGAGAATGGCTGAAGAAGCCATTGAATCAAGGGGTTCATCTGCCTGCCTGTGTTCAAAAGGTGTGAAGAGATGGATCTGGCAGCTCGTGACAAAGACAGACATTGTGCTATATGAATCAAAGGTCTCCCACGTGCAGAAATAATGCAATGACTTTGGTGGCTACCCCTGCCCCCCTTCCTTTGCAGTTATGCCACGCTTCACTGTCATCAGATGGTTTTCTGCTTTGCAGTCAGTAACATGATATTAATTTTACATCTGATTATCTTAATGAAAGTTTTATGTTTAAACAAATTCCTTCTTGATATCCAGAACAACCAGCTGAAGTCTCCTGGAATGTTTACTTGTCATCATATCTGCCTTTATCACAATATAAAATAGAGTTCTTGAAGACCTCCCTACTTTTCCAGGACAGTGGTACGTCAACTGCTGACTACCTGGGTAATCAAGGTCTGCGTGCACAGGACAGGCGGGTCAGCTTGCCCTGACAAAAGAGGCTGTTTCATCTTTCACAGAGCCCAACGAGTGCTCTGTAATGTTGAACCACTCAAACTAGCCACAAAAATCCACCCTGGCCACCAAATTCCCTGGATTGGGCCCAGGTGACAGCATTTCATACATTATGGCTGAAATGTCTTTGATATCGGAAAAGACACATGTGCAAACTCTGCGCAAGTCCAGCATTTCTGTTGCTTTGATGAAGGATTTCTGCTACATCTGGAGGCCAGAATTTCTTTATTGAAGGGGAGGAAAGCAGCTGCTCCTTATCCTATAAGCCACAGGTAATACTCAGCCTCTGAGTCTCCACTCCAAGATGGTAACCTCCCATCTATTTTCCAAGTAAAGTAGCAATATTAGGGAAAAATATCAGAACAGTGGATACAAAGGTTGTAGTTAAAAGCACTTTGTTCATGCAAAACAGCCCAAGAGAAATCACTGTGAAGCTCTCCCCTACTCTATTTTAAGGGTTAAAGTCAATGTACTTTAGGCCAGACAGATCATTTGTGTGAGAAGAGCAAACAATATTTAAGAATGTACATAGTTAGATCTTATTAAAATTTCTTGAGTACTGGCTGGGTAATTCCTGTTTAATACACTTTCAAATATGTTACTGAAAACACAAGCACCCACCTCCTGTTTTTTCCTTTTCAAAATCCAAATGATCTGGAGAATTGTTCTACAATTCCTCATCCTGTCAGTACGTTCAGAAAGAATTATCTTGAATCATGTCCCTAACTTTCATCTTGGAATATGCCAACAAGTGCTGAAGAGAACCACAATGGTCACTGGTAGAATGAAATCTAGTATTATGGAGGAAGGCTTGAGGATATGGCTCAGAACCACAAAGTCAACTTACAATTTTCTTATTTTTAGTCAAGGTTTACCCACTGGAACGTTATGTGTGGGTTTCATTACAGTTTCCCGAGGTCTGAACAAAAGTCCTTTTTGTTCTAGAAAGCTAAGTATTATCTTCCAAACCCTATTGTAAGTTCAAATCAACCATCTGCGATCCCACTAGAGCTTGTGATGACTCCAGGCTCCACTGCTTTTTCGCTTCTGCCACCTGCATTTAACAGTCATTCAAAAAGGATGGACCTCTGACAGAAAATAAAGCCCCAGGAAGCAAAGAGGAAGGAAAGAAGAGCGGAAACGGCATTGCTCCTGGGACAGCAACGGGATTCACACAGCTCCAAAGCTCCGCAACCTCACACCTCCCAGTTAACAGGAAAGCAAGCTGTTTGCTTTGGAAGAGGCATGTGGTGAAAATGGAACCAGCTCTGTACGTGGAATTTTGTGTCAACGCTCTGAAATTTCCCTCTAGATGGTTTTGGGTTTTCTGTTTTTTTCAAAGGAACTGTTACAAACTCAATGTGCTGAATATAGGATGAATAACAGAGCTGACAGAAGAGCAGTTGGGATGGGACATCCATCCTAATAGGACAGGGAATAAAGAGCACTTTAGAGACTATTAAACTACTACAAGCAATAAGCTGCCAGACTGCATCAGACCGTAAGGGACTCTAGCCAAGTCTCCAATGATGATTATCACAGACTTTAGAGTGAAATGTTAAAAACATAATGGGGAAAATCTGCGATAAAATATTGTTTACATTAGATCTCATCCTAGTTTCTGTAAGTCCAAGATTGGAATAAACCTGAATCATAATGATTAATATTCTTGCCAATCTGTTTTCAGCATGAAATTACTTTAATACATAATATCCTGAAGATTAAAAAATTTTGTGTTCCTACCAAGCTTGTCATTTACAGCCAAATAAATTACAAACTCTCCTCCCCCTTGAATTTCAGGCATAGCGTTCCAGCTTTTCCTGCTGTGTTTTTCTGCTGATGGTGTATTTCACTCCAGACCCCTAAGACATCACAGGAAATCTGAGTTCACGTATACTCTCATTTCTGTGCTATTAAACCTAAATCAAACAACTGTTAGACCATTTACCTTCTCTCTTCTTTCTGGGTACTACAACTGTAGATTGGTTGATATCCAGAAAATCTCCAGGCAGAACAGACCAGCAAAGCAGCCATTGGAGAATATAGCTGAAGATATTCACGATAGCAACGTGATCCTGATTTCTGTATTACTTCCTTCCACCTTTTTTCTTCATGACACCCTCAAGCCAGATCTGTTCTAAGCTGAAATCTATGGAGTTGTAAACCTAATACTTCCTGAAAAGGAAGCAAATAAATGGGACACTGTAAATAGCCTAAAATTCATAACAAAAAGAGAGAACTTGACTGCTTGATTTGTGCTAAATGTTTTCATTATTTCTCATATTTATTTCACCTCAGTGCCAAACTTGCATACTCTTTATGTGGACCGCAAAACTTACAATAAAGTGATCTTGTTTTCACATGTTTGCAAAATGAACCGCACTTGCAAAGATCTTAAAATATGGAAGCCTATTCCACTTATTTTAACTGAAATGGTTCACGTGAGAAGCTGAACCATCAACCTGGGAAGGGAAGTAGCTCACAAGAAGTGTGTTGAACTCTTCAATAAGTATAACCGTAGCAGGAAGATGATCTGCATATATTCTTGATGTATACGTACTAATATGAGTAGCAGGCTATTTGTTATAGCATCTCAATGTCAAGGGCACATATTCTGATTAGAAATATGGTAACAAAGATATTACCAGATAAATATCATGTGGATATGCAAGTGTAACGAACATGTTTTATGACAGACATAGCATTAGAAATAATGCAGAAAGAAGCATGTGAAATGAGGAGTTCTTCAACTCAAGTATTCACTTTCTTGCTTATGAGCATGCATTTTATATATACATGAAGACGTCTCCTAAAAAAGTTTCAAATGGAGTTGCCTAGCTAGATCCACAGTTATGAAACTCTTACCCTTTGATGCATCAGGAGATAGACAAAGCACTTGGAAAAATGGAAGGAGCTCAT